ATAATGGTAAAGAAAAAGAGAGATCGCATATGTAAGTGCGCATGCGCACACGTGAAAACATATCATCATTACTTTACATAAGAATATGAAAGCAACACTTATTTACTGTTCATATATATTTTAATTAATGTTTCTGAATTTGGTTTTTTTTAATTAATGTACGTGTGTGCAAAATTAACAATACAATTTATTAATAATACGTGGAATATTAGAGGAGACGAGACGGCTGCCGGCATTGTTTATGTTAAAGCTTACGGAACCAGTGACTGATTGGTTCTGCATATAAAACTGAAGAAAATAAGACCCTGAGTTTAGCTGTAGTAAAATTAATGTAAAAAATGAATATGGTTGCTTGAAGTACCTGTAATGTTATTTAATGTTAATAAATGGAACAATATAAGTAGCTAACCATCAATGGTAAAAAAAAAAGTGAGACTGCTCGTATGTAAGTGCGCACATGTGAAAATATATCGTCATTACTCTGCATAAGAATATGAAAGCAACACTTATTTACTGCTCATATATATTGAAGGGTTAAATGTTGTACTCTGTATAGACAAGCAGAGAGAGAGAGAGAGAGAGAGAGCAGCCGAACTGCCGGATGTAAACAAACCTTAAACACGAGGATCCATATATATTTCATTAGGTTCACGGCGCCATAAGCTCGTTGAACAGGCTTTGTGTGAAATATAACAAAGTCTAGGACTGCTTTTAGTATCCTGGTGGTCCAGCGGTTAGCGTTCCCCGGTCACAGTCATAGGCTTGTGGGCCGTGGGTTCGAATCCTGGCGGGTTGAGGTGTTGATTGTATGTAGAAGTCCGCGTGCTTTATTGGGCTAATGAAATATATATGGATCCTCGTGTTTCGAAGCCGGATTTGGTAAAACGTTACTCTGACCACCTAAGTGATACGGGTGGTCCCCATTAGAGGTTCACGGCGCCATAAGCTCGTTGAACAGGCTTTGTGTGAAATATAACAAAGTCTAGGACTGCTTTTAGTATCCTGGTGGTCCAGCGGTTAGCGTTCCCGGTCACAGTCATAGGCTTGTGGGCCGTGGGTTCGAATCCTGGCGGGTTGAGGTGTTGATTGTATAAATATATATATATATATATATATATATATATATATATATATATATATATATATATATATATATATATATATATATATATATATATATATATATATATATATATATATATATATATATATATATATATATATATATATATATATATATATATATATATATACAGGTAGTTCTGCTATAACGCGATAATTGTGTTCTTGTAAAATATCGTGTTATAGAAAATCGCGTAATAGAAATAACAGGGCTTATGGAGAAAATAGGGTTAGGTGCAGATTACTCGAAATCGAAAAAATTTAGTAGTTAGCCTAACACAAAGGATAGCACAGTCTAAATAAATGTTACATTCATATCTAATAATGAAATCATACAGTAAATTTAACACTTTACCTTGAAAAAATATGAATGTAACTTGATGGGGGAGAAGGGTGATTTTGAGGTTGATAACATCAAGCTTCTCTTCAAGTGTTATATCCTTTCTTTTACGATAATCACCGGGAATTCTATTATCAGAATGCTTTTTGGAGATATTCTTCTTTACCATATTCACAGTTAATACCACAAAATTGGAGAAATAGTAAGCAAAAATTGCGTTATAGCAAACAAGCGATCGCGTTATACAAATATTGTTCCGAATTCATAAATCGCGTGAGAGCAAATTCGCGTTATCAAAACACGCGTTATAGCAGAACTCACTGTATATATATATATATATATATATATATATATATATATATATATATATATATATATATATATATATACTGTGTATATATATATATATATATTTTATTTTTTTATGGGGATTGGCCCACCCGGGCACAGGTCACTGACCCACATCAAGGCCTGGGGGGCGAAAAGGTAATAATAATAATAATAATAATAATAATAATAATAATAATAATAATAATAATAATAATAATAATATTAATATTAATAATAATTATAATAATTCATAGTAAATAAAAGTATAATATAAAATACAAAATTGAAAATAAAATAAATAAAAATTATAATAATAATAACAAAGAACCATAACGAAATACAAAAATGAAAAAAAAATCAAAAGTGAGAAACATTATATGTATGTTGTGTTGTCAATGGTAAGAGAAACAATTGAGACCATGCAATTGTGTGTAAATGAAGCAGAAAGTCAGATCAGTAACTTGGGACTTGGTCACAATTTTCGTGTTGCCATCTGGCAGCAGGGTCTACCATTAGACAACACATTAAGCTTCCAATACCTTCCCTGGCAGTAGTACCTCCCTGTTTGGTACCTGTCTACTACCTACAATAATATTTATTTGTTTTTCATTAATTAGTAGAGATATGTTACTGTAATAATCTGTACTTATTGATACATGTACCCTTCATATACAATACAGTATAGAATTATGTACTGGATATACCTCGTAGGTAAAAAATAATGTCATTCAAGACATATTCAGGTCATAAGACCCACTAATCCCCAACCTAACACTGGGTGACCTGACGTTGCATCAGGTCAGGTTAGTAACATGACCCAATAATCTCCCACCCAACCTTCATTGCAAGTGTTAAGACATGATTAGTTATGTATTACAGTACAGTCAATTGAGTGAAGTGTGTAACAGAGACGTGACAATCGCCCAATAACGAGCCGATCAGTGGTGAAGAGGATAAAAGTAACAGCTCTACCCTGTATGATACAGAGCTTTTGTTTTTAAATACTGTATATTTATTTAAACAAATTTTTAGAAAAAGTACACAGGATTATTTTGATAAAAAAAATGGTGTCTAACGAAATTAGAACCGATTTTACTGACTCCGGTATGAATATTTCTAACGTTTTTTAACAAGAAGATGAAATTCCCATCGTTATATCATACAGAAATATTTCGTTTAAGGATATCTTATTGGAAATGTTAAGTAGAGAATTTATTAAGGATCATTATGGTATCAAATTCACCTCCCTATCACAATTAGTCACGCTTGAGTGAGGAAGAGGGGGGGGGGGGAACTGACCATGCGACCTTCCCCCTTCACTCCCCAAAAAGGGTGACTCCCACACTCTTCAGCCAAACATTACACACACACTCCAACAACCACCCACATACTCCAACAACCACCCACACACACTCCAACACCACTCACATACCCCTAACAAGGGAATTAAGACAGCAAACATAAGGAGTGAGGGGTCTTATTGTGTGACAAATTTGGGTGGGTGTAACTGCGAGTAAAATATTAGCTGTTGAGGAGTGCTTGGCAACACTCATTTCCATTCCATCTCTCTAATTACCCACACTTTTCTGCTTTCTCACTCCATATTTTAAAATGTTATGTAATGTAATGTTGAAGGGATACAACTTTGCTCACTTATACTTATCACAATCTCCCTAAAAATACTTTAGCTTTCGTGTTTATTCAAGACATCTTCAGGTCATGAGACCCACTAATCCCCCACCCAAGAAAGAGTGATCAGACATTCCATCAGAAGGTCAGTAATATGAGACCACTAATCCCCCTATCTACCTACCTCCATTTGACATTGCATCAGGTCAGGTCAGTTACATGAGTCCCACTAATCCCCCACAGCTCCATAGGAGTGGAAAATAATAGTCTTTGCTGTAACACAAAGCTTCATTCATACCTATATCCAATAAATTTTTAATTTTTTAATATATTTATTTAACAAAACTTTTAGATAAACTATTCTGGATTATTATAGTAAAGAAATGAAGTTTCTAACTTAATTAGAACTGCATTTATGGACTCTGGTAGTTTAGACTCAAGGAAACCATCCCCAGCACCCAGAAACGTTCTGGGGAAGTGGGCTAGTGTCCGTCTGTGCAAGGTGTCTAGTTTAGACACTCGAAAACTTTTCCTAGTAACCGGAAAAGGTTCCGGGGATAAGGAATTTTTCCGGGTTTGGGAAAGTTGACTCGTTTCCAGAAATCTCTCGTCCCCGGAAGTGCTCTGCACCAATTATTCCGGCTAACGGGGATATCACAGTTTTATTATTGATTTATATTGTATAAGGTGCATTCATAAACATGATTTAAAGAATATAGTTTGCCTTTCTCATTAATTGAATATTTTTTTGGGGGGGAAAGAGGGTAAAAAGCCACACAAAAGATATGAAAAGGTCAGAGTTTGGAATGCATCTCATTATTATTGCTTTATTTTAATGGTAATTAATGATTCATGATATGATGATTCACTTCACACTGTTATTTGAGTGTCTTCTCATTACCCAGAAATCTCTCATCCCGGGAATAGCTCCGCACTAAGTGTATTCCCGCAAATGGGGATACCACTTACATGTTACTTTATAATTATCATACAATATTTTATTTGGCACATAGCAAAATATTAGTAATTTTTTAAGGACCACCTCCAGTTAATAAAAAATTTCAGTCATTCAAAATGGCTCAGGTACCAAGATTTGCTGATTTTTTAAGTGAAACCTGCAGTTTATATTGTTTTCCAATTAAATAGGTACAGGGTCCCAGCAGGTATAAAAATTTGACTTATAAAGATGCAGACATACAAATGGGGTCTGGAAATAAAGTCTCCATCCCGTTATTAGAGATCATTAAAAATACGTTAATGATAAAGACTTGTGGCCCTGGCAACACTAAATGTAAACTAAACAAAAGTCTGTGACAGTTACATATCCTTACCTTTTCTTCGAATGATTTTCAGAACTAGTATTAGTGTCCGTAGTAGACGTGGCCACTGACTGGGATGTATGTGTCGGATCAGTCTGTGAAGTGGCTACCGATGACATTTGTTGAGAATTACCTCCTTTTGCTAGTAAAACAGACAACTCTGTTTCAGGATTCTGTCTATGTTGAGTTTCTTCCACTGCTCTTCTGGCTGCTTGTTCACTCACAGCTAATAAAAGATGGATTTTTTACTTAACATACGTAAAAGGCCATGAGCTACAAGAACTAAACTACTACCTCAGATGCTTGACCTGAAAAAGCTGAACAATGAAGATAAGGAAATGGCTGGCAGAAAACAAAAACTACCAATGTAAAATCAAATACTTTATCAGATAAATATTGACAATGGTTTTATAGGGCTGTAACAGTGCATTGATTAAATCACAAATAGTTTAGAAAATTAATACAATACTGTACCGATACAGTATATGGAATTGTTTTACGAGTCGATATATAGCAATGGGGTTTTAGGAATTTTCTGAATATATGCAATTGAGGCCACTGCAGTAGCAAGGGCACAAGTGAATTTTTTTTTAAATAGAAAAAAGGTGATTAAAGTTTGGTAAACATTAAAATGTGAAAATCTGCTTTATTTCAACTGCTTATTAGACCATCAGAATATTTTCAGAAGTGAGCATACAACACACTTTGTAGTAGAGGAAATCTTATTGAAACTTGCTGTGGTGGTAACTCGAATTCGGGTGCGGTGGCACTTGTGCCCGTACTACGGTGGCCTCATATTATTGTTTACTATTACATTCCAGTCTCATATAATTTCCCTTATAAAATCCTAAAACTAATGGCAGATAGAGATGGAGTTTCATCCATTAAAACAGTAAGAACAATAAGGAATACAGTGGAGAGTAAGTAAATGGAAAAGAGGGAAAAAAAAAAAGAGGAGACAAAAGCAGAAACTAAGACATGTGGTGTATTTGCTTTGGAAAATTTTTTATACAGTATTACCCCGCCTAACGCGGTTTCACTTAACACGTTTTACCATATACGCGGTGCCTCGCCAGAGCTGAACTTACACTTAACACGGATTTTTTCCACATATACGCGGTGAGTGTCCGGCTCGAGACGCTATTTTTAGATTTGCCCCACCCGCCACCCTGCCTGACTGCCTGTTTTAGCTCATAAAATTCATACAAATTACCCGGCCAGAATATAATTTACATTGCTGGAATTCTTATAATTTGGTGATCATTTTGAATATAAACATCATATATTTTGCATTAGACATACAAATTTTAGATAAAATGTTTTCTCTTGAGTAAATATGTTATCTTTTGTGCAAAATGTATGACATTTATATTCAAAATATTCCTGGTCTTGCAAGGAATCCAGCAATGTCAATTATATTATGCTAACTTTAGTTTCAGGTATTATTTATTACTAAAGTTAAATATTCTGGTTTCCCCACACATCTCCTTGGGACGGTTGGTGGGGGGTGGGGGGGAGGGAGGGACCGACCGACCATCTGTTACCCCGTGAAGAATATTTTTTTTTTTTATTAACTGAAGATATTTGTTTTAGCTCATAAAATTCATACAAATTACCGGGTCAGAATATAATTTACATTGCTGGAATTCTTATAATTTGATGATCATTTTGAATATAAACATCATATATTTTGCATTAGACATACAAATTTTAGATAAAATGTTTCCTCTAGTAAATATGTTCTCTTTTGTGCAAAATATATGACATTTATATTCAAAATATTCCTGGTCTTACAAGGAATCCAGCAATGTCAATTATATTATCCTAACTTTAATCTGAGGTATTATTTAATACAAAATGTTAAAATTTATTTTTTTCACCCACTCTTCTCTTGAAGGGAGGAGTGGTGGAGGGTGGGGGGGGAGGATTGGGACTGACCGCGCGGTTGGAAGAGAGGGGGAGGCAAGGTGGGGTACTTTGATTGACAGATAGTGTCCTGAAGAATATTTTTTTTTTTATTAACTGAAGATATTTGTTTTAGCTCATAAAATTCATACAAATTACCCGGCCAGAATATAATTTACATTGCTGGAATTCTTACAATTTGGTGATCATTTTGAATATAAACATCATATATTTTGCATTAAACATACAAATTTTAGATAAAATGTTTTCTCTAAGTACATATGTTATCTTTTGTGCAAAATATATGACATTTATATTCAAAATATTCCTGGTCTTACAAGGAATCCAGCAATGTCAATTGTATTATCCTAACTTTAGTTTGAGGTATTATTTTTTAAAATTTAGTGGTTTTCCCCCAAAAATTTCTCAGAGAGGGAAGAGCCAGCAGTGTAGTATGAGAAGAGGGGGAGGGAGTTGAGTCCATTATTTGAATGGACATTAACTTGGCGACTGTATTTCTCTATTTCTCTTAAGTAATAATTGTGTGCATGTACCATCATAAAATTAAGATGTTATTTTTACTACAACATAGTTATGTGTCTTCAAAAAGTGGAGTTTGGGGGTCGGGCTGGTTTCTATTGGAATTAATCCCATATGTTCTGTTGTTCACTTAACGCGGGACCCTCTGGGTTCTATTGACCGCGTTAAGTGGGGTACAACTGTATGTTGATAATCAAGTGGTTAAGAAAATGGTCTATAATTTAATATACCAAACGTCTACCTAAATCTCAACCGGAAAACCCAAGTCATCAATTTTGCAGAGATCAAACTCATTATAAGATATTTTTCACTTGCTGCCACTAAACGAATCTCGGGAATTTTGTAGTTACAATCGGTAATTTTGACAATTCTAAGAAACTTTCCTTCAATGGCATTTCTGGTATTAATTACATATAAGTGAGACATTTAAAATTTTATTATGTATGTTCATACGTGGCAGTACACACCCAGAACATCAAACAACTGTGGAGCCCCCCAGTTAGGTGAGGTTAAAAAAATAAATTCTAACGGTTTTTGAATATATTTAACTTAACTTTTATAGCAAATCTCTAGATTCTGATATGGAGGGGGGGGGGGATCTCAGAAACTATAACTTGCACTAGAATTGAAGGTCATATTCGTTCATAACACATCAAAAACCACCAGAAAAAACATAGTTTCAACTTCAATTTTGTATAGTAGCAACAAGTGAAAATTTACCCATTATAATACCACTTGAATGCATCTACAGCATAATATATCAATAAATACAGTTACTTTGCTAGTTTGGTACTTTTAGGAAGTAAAGAAGTTGAAACATACCTGGATTGTCTTTCTTGGTGTCAGCATCAACCTCACAACATCCGATGCAATATTTGTTTGTCATTCGGTCCTCTAACAAGACACACTGTCAGTGGGAAAAATGCAAAAAAACTTACATTTCTGCTTCAGAATTCATTCAATCTTTATTTCTACCTCTACCTTCCTTAGGCCTGAACTTCGAGAGATAAGTGATTCAAAAAATTATCACCCAGTGACTCATACTACAAATTCCGACACCAATACAACCAACTCATTCAACCTTTCTACCTTACCTCTGAAACCCTTCTCTTCATTTTAAATAATTATGGCCATGGAGGAGTGAGTGATCTTCAGATTACCACCAGTCACCATGTCCTAGGGGTTTAATCAAGAACCTCCAAAAAACTGGGGTGTAAATATTCACAAGTCACTTCTCACTGTTTTTTTGTGAAATGGGATTTCAGGATCAAACCCTCATTTCTAGCTTCATCTTAACAAACACCCACATAATATCAGTTTAACATATGATCTCATGTTTGGAAAATACTGTCCTAGTGATTCTGCTAACACATCCATTTTTCTGCTACACATACTCGCGTGAGGTCAATCACCTATACCACCTACCTTTATTACAATTTGTAAATAATTTTTCTTCCTTATTAACCTGGCTTTTACAACTTTATCATATATAGGGTACTACTTATCCATCAGTGCTCCAAGTAACAACCAAATATTTAGGAATGTGTATGCTTCCCTTCTGTTCAACAAAGACTCTGATTCTCCTTCCACACCCAAATACGTACAACCATATCACTTTTTATCTCCATTGTAAATTGTCTTATTTTTCTTTGTCTTAGTAATTCCTTCAACGTTTCTTGTAAGTTTTTGTAATTCCAATACAGTATTTAAACCTGATAAACATGTTACTTTCACTAATTTAACTCTAGAAGGACTTCACTGCCTCTAAAAGTTTACCTCTTGCATCATATGAGGTGCGCAGTGGAAGCATAACTTAACCACCAACCATGAAAAAACGAGATCTTTGTTTCAAGGTGGTGCCAAAGGATTCTCAATAAAACTAGATACATTTCAGAAGGTATATACAGGGGGGCCCCCGACTTACGAATGCCCACTGATACGAATGGGGTTAAACCTGAAATTTACAGTATTTTATTTACCTGATGACCTAGTTTTTACTTTCATATACTGTATTTTGTCATTCTGTTTCTTATTTTCTCTTAAATTAAGTGATTTTAGATGCATATAAGGACTTAGGCTATGATATAGTGGAATTTTAAACATTGTTCTGTAAGCAGGGTTATGCACATACTGTAGCATGTGTTCTGACTTACGTACAAATCAGACTTACGAACGTCCTCACGAACAGAACCCGTTTGTAGCCCGGCAACCCCCCTTTTTGTCATCTGGAATATGTAAGAATGCCTTAGAATAATACAGGATTTTCGCCCTTGTGTGCGATACTACCATGGTGCGATAACTCCCACAGCTGGGGAAATACTGTCCATCCATCAACTATGGAGCATAAGCAATCAGCAGCCAGAGATGTCAAAAGGTTGGAGATACATGGGGAACCACAAGTTTTAGTTGTCCTCCCATTAGCAGACACTACTTAAGTGATTATTCTGCATTATTTTCATACAATGAGTTAGGGTGAAGGGGAAGTATGTTCATGACCCCCTCTAAGTGGTAGAAAGGAGTAACAAAGAAAAAATATATCGAGGTGAAGTGATGTGTGACCAGCAATAATGAGGTAAGGGAGAGAAAGATAGGGCCTCCCTGTAAGTCTGGCTGCCTAGCATGTGTGGGTAAGGGTACACTTCTCCTGGACTTGTATTACAGTCAACCCTCGCTTTACGCGGTCCCACATTCTGCGTTTCCACGTTAACGCGGTGCCCTGCCAGAACCTAACGTGCTCACATTACGCGGTGCGTGAACCCCATTACGCGGAGAGTGTCCAGCGCGACGCTATTTTTAGATTCGCCCCACCCCCGCC